TCACCCGAGCCAACTATCCATGCTGGCCCTACATGGGCCAGCAAAAAAGCCAAGGGAGAATTTATATACCAAATCCCATAAGGGGTCAGAGTGAGTCTAAGACAAAGACCAGGCGGAACAGCTCTGTCTTGCAGACCCTACAGAAAGATGTCAAATCCCGCATGGTCCTTCATAAAAGAGAATCATATTCACATATTCTCACAAAATTGCAAAAGGATTTTAACTAATCCTATGCCCCTTGTGTTTGCTATCCCAAAGTTTTTTAAACATTCTTGCTCAAATATATTTATTTTGTTTTCCCCTTGTTGAATGCAAAGCATCTAGATGTTTTTGTCTTAAAGTTGCCCTTCACAATGTTGTTTATATTTGATGCTACTTCAGACCAACAATTTTTAGCCTCGGGGCAGAATGAGATTCATACCATTTACCCTTAACTTTTTGGGAGTAGTAGTAGTCTGGATGCAAAACCATTCAAATTCTAAACAAAGTATATTTTGCATGCAAATAACTATTTCAAGAGCTTTCATTCTATTGAGATTATTCTTATTCTATTTGCAATAAGAGAGTAAGTGACAGAAATATTTTGACATTTAAAACATTAACATAGATTTCTGCCTTTGCTCCACATGTATTGAAAAATTATACATCAGGATACAGTATTGTTATTTTATCTAAACAACAATAGATACTCAAAACAGAGAACAAAGTAGATGCACTCCTTTAGCTAGCTTAGACAGCAGAGGGCGCTCTTACATGCAGATGAATTCACTAACCATTCAGAGCATGAACCTTTCTAAATACATAAATGTATTTTTCCTCCTTGATGGAGGACACGAAATAAGTAATATTTGTCTCCAACTAAAGTGAGTTTATTCAAAATATGTTTGGAGCCCTCATTTATTATGTATAACTAAGCTGTCAAAACCGACAGTTCTACTGTCAACTTAAAGATACAAGGTTGGGAAGGCTATGTGTAAACAAAACAATTTTTTTTTATCTCTCCCGCCAGTGTATGCAAACCTTGACAGTAAGAAGGTGTAATTACTCAGTAAAGTACATTAGCAGTCATCAGAAGAAAGCTAAGGAATCTGTATTGAAGAGGCTTATGATTTAGCACCAGTCATCACCATGTCTACTACTACTATAGAAAAATAAACTTTGAAGAAACACTTCTCCTTTGAAGTTGCACATTCCATTATTCCACCATTTGGAAATATAAAAATCTGCATTAATGCTGCTGCCATTAGTGGGAGTCTTACCTACTAATTTATATATTAAAAAATATAGCTATGATCCATAAAATGCTCAATAATTACTCATCATTGAAGGACGCAGTCAGGATGTCTAGAACACATGTGAAAGCTTGTTTAAGTATCTCTCTAGATAGGCCAAATAGTGTTATGACACCCTTCTTCAACCTGGTGCCCCTGCAGATGTTTTAATCAGAGGTAGCCAATACGGTACCCTCCAGATGTTTTGGAGTCAACTCTCATCTAGTCCAGCCACTACAACCACTGGTTGAGGAAGAAACATGTGCCTTCAGCACACTCATTTGACATACTGATGATCCTATCAAATGTTATGTAAAGAGAACTAAAGCCTTACAGTTGTGTTCTTGAGAAACATGCAGTGATGACAATATTTTGATGCATTGCGAAATATGTGTTGGTTACTAACTGCTACTAGGTCGAAAACAACCTTTAATTTCTTCAAATGTGTTCCTTCACCATGATGTTTTCTTTTATTGTCCCTTATCTTGTGAAATACAGTGTTTTACAAGGCAACAATACACTAAAAGGATTGATGATGCAGAATTAACTGTTCCTAAAACACCCATATTAATTTATGTGGTGCCATATTGTTTATCTGCTCACTACCTGTGAAAAGGCACTGAATGTTATCAAAGATGCAATGAACATAAACATCCCTGTTCAGAAAAAAGCAGCAAGCTATTAAAAGCATGCCAAAACTTAAGAATTAGAACCCAACTGCTTACAACAATAAATTGTCGTGTAAATAAAGAGCTAATCCAGCCCATATCTTCAAGAGAAGATCCAGTAAAGTTATTATTATTATTAAAATTTTAAGTAGGATACATTTTTAATCCTGAAAGTACACCACCGTTCCAATTTGCACAGGTCCCATCTCAAATTATTTCGGTTTCCAAAATGTTCACACAGACCTGTGAGGTTAGCAAGTGAATGCAAGACAAATTGTCAGCTATAGTTATACTTGGAACAAAATGCAAGAACTGTGTTAAAATAGCTTCTACTGAAATTCAGTGAATAAGGAAGCTCAAACCTCTCTCAGGGCCAAAATATGCACACCCCCAGAAAACTATCTATAAACCAATACTACTGTTTATTTTGTGTCTATTATTTATTCCATTGCGAGTCTTGGATGCGCTCTTAATTGTTCAGGTGGACTCTAAAACTGTTTTGGAGAAAGAAATGTTGCCTTTCTAGAGCATGTACTTTGTGGCTGACCTAATTCTTCACTTCAAGCAGTTACTCAAAGGATGTTGTCGGCAATTGCTCGTTAGAGAGCCAAACGCCTTGCCAAGCTTTAACTAGAAAAGACATTCCACTTCCATGAATGAGTGGACAAAAGGTTCATCCCATTTCCGACTAACTGTTTAGGTTCCCACCACCAGAAAAGCCCTTCCTTTCAATTCAGGTAGGATGGCTCAAGAAGATGATGACAAAAACACAGTTCCAGCCTTTATTAAAGAATCTTACACCCAACCAACAATGACATGTTAGTTACACTCCGCCTCCGTGGCTGGAGGTTAGTAATGATTCTGCATATCACTTGTTGGAAACCATAGGAGGGGAGAGTGCTTTTGGGCTCAGATCCTGCGTGCGAGTTTCCCAGAAGCATTTGGCTGACCACTGTGAGAACAGGACACTGGACTAGATGGTTATGATGTTCTTAGGGCATGTGTAATGCTGCTGTACCCTCAAAATGTAGTTTTAGAGCATTAGATGCTAGATGACCTACAGTTCTTAATTGCAGTGCAGTTAACTATTCTGATACTATACCCTACTCTCATAATCTACTGCTTGACTAATATCTTTCAGCAAGCTCTTTAAAAACCAATACAGTCAAGCGGACTACACTGTACTTTAGACTTCAGATACCAGTACAGCAGCCATGTCCTCTGTCCTATTATAAATCTATTTGGGGGGAAAGCAAGTCTGGAACAGATGGGTCTTGGATAAAAACTGCCAATTTTAAAAAACATATCTTTCTAACAAATAATGTGTTCCTCCCATCTTCTTCTTTTTTTAAAGTGTCCACACAAGTTATTACTGGGCATGTCGAGCATCTTCGCACATAGGAGGGCTAGAAATGAGGCAAAATTGCCCTTTTGATTCTGTGGCGACATTCAACACCAAATGGAAATTCTTATACAAATAAATATTCTTTGGCTTCAAGCTCAAGATTCCACTTCCAAAAATAAAGTATGCAAGAGCATCAAAAGCTGTCTGTCTGCTATGTGAATAGCTTGTAAGCCATTTATAATTTGCTTTCGTACAAAAGGACACTACAGAGATTTAGGCAGAACCCACACACACACGGACCAGTATTTCACAGAATATATTTTGAATTGGGCTCTTACCAACTGAGGCCATGAGATGCACTGTACTGTCTATTTTTAAACAAATTCTTGTCTAATTTTAAGTAAATTAAGTTTCACGGTTATTTCACAAGTGTCCCCATAGTTCAAGAAAAAGTCTCTCTTTCAAACCCAGACACACAGAGAGATGGGGAGAAAACAAAAGATAAGAAAATTATCAACTCCGGTCTGAACATCTCTTTAATGTTCTCATTTTCCCTTTCAATTCAGGGATATGCTCTACGCTAAATATTTCTTAGATATTCCCTATAGCAGCGTAACTTCATTAAATTCAGTTGTGCTGTTACCACTTTTACACCCACCAGCAAGAGAAGAAAAGCTAGAGGTCCTTCAAAAGCCTCCCTGTGGTTACCATTACCTTACAGAGGCAGACCAGGACATCTGTCTGTGTTGTAGATCGTTTCTACCCTATGAGCAACATAAGATGTAAGGACTGAGACGCCCACTTTTTATTATAGTCACCTGTTCTCTTTATGGCACTCCTTTGATGCCCTATGCCACATTTGTAAATTACCATTCAACCATAGCACGTAAAAATCTCATCCCGCCCCAGGATAAGAATGGGCTCTTTTGAATAGCCTAGGGAAAAAAGAAGAAGCTCCTGCTACAAGTATTGGCGGGAATGTGAGCTAATGAAGTTTTCGTAGGGGCTAGTAACTTGACCGGACATGTTTCCAAGGGTGCCCTGGCTGCACAAAATGCGGGGTAAAGGGGAAGCAGAAAAGCACCGAAGGGGGATCTCAGATACACTCATTCCTTCTTCTGGAGGTGGAAATCGGAGAACTAAATTGGGAAGCTCTTCTCCCCCCCCCAAAAAAAAAACCAAACACACACACACACACACACTCCCGATATACCGCATAGTTGTGGGCTTTGGGAATTTACAAGTATTCATTTACTACGCACATGACAGATTTGGAGGAAGGAGAGGGGCAAAAAGAGCCCTTGTGAATTCATCTCAATAAACCGCACAGGGGGGCTTTTGCAAACCCAGCAGTTATTTATTTCTGGCTGCCCAGTCGCCGCCCCCCGTCCCACAAACTCAACCCGAAAAAGAGGAAAGAACAACCTTAATGGAAATGTTCATATATATTTGTGTGTCTCCCTGAACTGCCGTAGGGTAATGAAGAGTTAGTCATGAAGTTGATAAGCAGCCGAGAAAGAAAGGGAAAGTACACAGGCCGGGGGGGGGGAGCAGGATCAGAGGGGTCGCCAAAATAAACGCTCATTTTTGGAAGCTGGGGCTGGGGAGGGGGGCAAAGAAATCCCATTGAAAGGGAAGGGAAAGGGCGGGCCAGGCGGAGACCTCAGGGAGGAAAGCGCGACCCCCAGGGCGAAGTCACCCCCCAGGAGCTCTCACCTCTCTGGAGAAGCGCCTCTCCGGGGGAATAAGAGCGGCGGCGGCGGCGGCTGAGCTTCCTCTCTGCTGCTCCTCCCGCTCAGCTCAGCGACTAAGCCGAGCGGCCGCCCCGAATCCCGCATTTATCCCGCCCGCCGGCGAGAGAGCGCAGAAGCGGCCGGGCGGCGCCCACTCGGCTTTCCCCCTCCCACTGGGGCCGCCGCCGCCGCTTGTCTCTTCAGCAGCGGCCGCCTCCTCCTCCTCCGCCTCGCCCAGCTCCCGCCCTTCCTCGAAAGACCACGCCGCCAGGAGGCCTCGCCTCCCGGCCTGAGGCGCCACCTCCCTCCCTCAAGTCCAGAAGCGCCTCTCCGCCCTTGCCAAGAGCGTTCAAGGCGCTCGAAAGAAAAAAAAGGGAGCACTGAGGAGAACAACGATGGGACTCGATGTGTAAACACGGGTTTGGAGCGAGTCAAGCAGAACGTGGGTCCCGCCAGAACCCGCTTAGAAGTGTTGTTTGGTTGTTACAGCGTTTTGTTGTTTTTTGCATCACCAGCCTCATCATTAGAGTTTTATAACTAGGTTTGTTTTAGAAACTTGAGTTCCTTTCACAGTCGCTCATTAGTAAAGGGGATAAAAGCGAGGGGGCAAAAACAACAAAGCAACTCATTTCTATTATTACAATGGAATTTCATCACAAGTTTAAGTTTCCTAGCCCGCCTGTCTCTCAAGTGGCGCCTGCAAGAAAATGTTGCAGCATGGAGTGCTTGCTGAGGAAGCCAAGCTGCCAAATTCTGGGATATGCCATTGCCCCTTCCCCGGTTTTCTGCTTTCCAGCAGCTCAGACAGCACTCTGTGTCCAATTCGTGCTGAGGAGGAATCCTTCCTAAAGATCTATCGAACTTTGGAGAACCTTTGAGCCTTATTTTTGCCTAAGTTGGATACTTCCTTTTTGAAGCGTAGATGGTGCCATTTTGGTTAAATAGGAATTCCCACTGGCCAAATACGTTCACTATTAGTATACAGTCAGACCTCATGTTACGTTTGCTTCATGTTATGTTTTTTCAGGTTGCGTCCCGTGGCGACCCGGAAGTACCGGAAAGGGTTACTTCCAGGCTTTGCCGCTCACGCATGCGCAGTAGTGCTAAATCACACTTTGCGCATGCGCACAAGCACCAAATCGCGCCACGCACCTGTGCAGATTTGGTGCTTCAGGTTGCGGGCTTTTCGCATTGTGAATGGGGCAACGGAACGGATCCGGTTCGCAACCAGAGGTACCACTGTGTAGGGCAGGGGTGAGGAATATCTGTCAGCAAGACAGCTGCATTCCTTTCTGAACAGCTTTTTAAGGGCCACATGCTGGGGGGTGGGTTGGGGGGGTGTCGCAGAAGCAAAAGCAACAGATGTGTAACGTTTACCTTTGCATGGCATGCTAATTACTACACACTCACAAACATGGGCTTAGCCAAGTGGGGCCAGGGGGGCAGCTGCCTCCCCCAAATCAAGTAAATCAATAAAAAATACTTAACTAACTGAGGTTCTGCCCTCCCTAACATGAAGCCTGTCCCCAAACATAAATCCTGGCTACTCCCATGTTCACAAACCCCTCTATCCTCCATCTAGACAGTGCACTCCGAGGAAGCCCTACCAAGACTCATCAACCATTTTGCCCAAGCCTGCAGGGAATTTGGCCCACATCAGCCTGACAAAAACCAACATCCTGGATCAGGATGTCGCCAGCCGTCCACGCATCACCTTTGGTGACCACATGCTTGAGGTGGCAGATGATTTTGTCTATTTGAGTTCCACCAAAACCAGCAAACTGCATATTTATCTATGCACTGTACTTTTATGCACTCCTTTCTGCCAATTCCCCATGATTTATAATCCAAAATGTAAAACAAGCATAAAACATAAAACAGCAGAATTCAGTCAGTTGTGGCCTCTTCAGGAGCCAATATGATGAGCTTAGGCTCCTCTCTTGCTTTCTTCTCAGGATGCAAAATTATGTGAGATACGTTATACTGAAAGACAGTGACTGGTGTGAAGTAATTCAACAAGCATCATAACAGCAATATTTGAACCCAGATCATGGGATAAGTAGACAAGTTTGGTCAGTGAGTAGTTAAAAGTCATTATTTCAAAGTGGAACAAAGTAAGCAGTGGGATTTCCTCAAGCTCCCTAGGGGCTGATGCCAGCTAGTCAGTAAAGTATAATCAGATAGCCAAAGTTTGGATTAGGCTGTAGAGCTGATATGGGGTTTAACATTGGCTTATTTTTGTCAGCTTTGTGCATTGCGTGCCAGAAATATTTTTCCTGTTATTACCACATGTATCCTTGGCAACACAAACAAATGAACACCTTTCACACTTGATGGAAAGCAACATTTTACAGTTTGAATGATCTTAAAGTGACAAATGGGATTTTGCAGAAATATATGCTCTTTCCTTTTCTTACTATAGTGCTAGGCTTTCTGTAGGAAACAATCAAGAGGAGTGTTTTTGCTTTTACTCTCCCCCCCCCCCAAATCACACTTAAGATACTCATATGCCTACTCTCTTGTACCAAGCATTCAAGTTCACACCTTTTCAGTCTTTCTAGAATGTGGCTATAACCATGGGTACTGCCATAAGAGAAATCTGAAGAAGTGTGCATGCACATGAAAGCTCATACCAATAACAAACTAAGTTCGTTTCTAAGGTGCTACTGGAAGGAATTTTTTGTTGTTGTTTCGACTACGGCAGACCAACACGGCTACCTACCTATAAAGAGAAATCTAATTAGTGGCTTATTCACCAAGTCCTGATTCTTCTTCAAATACAGATTCAGTAAAGCAAGCTCTAGAGACTTCATGATATGATGATGAGTAATTTATTTATCTCATTAAACACTAGTTTCCCAAAATTTGCCACCTTTGGGCATGTCCACCAGAAGTGTGTATAGGTACCCCTGTCTCCACACATTTGTCAGCACAAGGCAATTTCTCACATATTTCTCCCCCTGCTGGACCCGTAACCTGTTGCTGAAGTAATTTATATAGTGTGACTTTGGAGAGGGGTTACGGTAGTCTGTGGACCTGAGTCCTTTCTCATTCCTGGATCCAGCAAGGGTTAAAATCTAATTGAGGATCCCATTGTAGAAGTAGTCCAACCCGCTTCAATGTAGATCTTTATTCATAACCTCCAGCCACATTCTCAGCATTTTCCCCACCTGCCACTTTTCTCTAACTAAAGGGTTCTCAACCTTTTTAGACCAGTGGGCACATTTCAGGTTTTGAAAGAGTATACTGGAGGCACAAAATAGCTGCTATGGGGCAGGGTGGGGCTTTACACAAAAAATGGCTGCCATGGGAAGCATGCGGTAACACAAAATAAGAGAGAGTGCTGCCCCTGACAACTTTATAGTTAGCATAGGAAGTCAGTTATGTCCTGCTGGTCCTGCTTGGGGAACTCACACCTTACTGATTACACACACACACACACACACACACACACACACACTCGCTGTTGCTTTCTAATGGCAACAAGGTGCACCATTCCTAAGTACCAAATAAAATGTGTGAAGTGGCCACACCACACTCATTCCACAGAAATCTCATAGAAGGTGCCTGTACATGTTGCCCCATAATTTACATTCTAGGAGGGCCAGAGACTTGCTTTAAAAAGAAGCGAAAGTTCAGACTCTGGGGCACCTAGCCAGATGCACCAATAGCAGCTTTCATGCGTACCATGGCACAAACAAGTGCCAGGTTGGCAGCTCCTGCTCTAACTCCTTTCATCTTAACTACTGGGGTACACTTCTTAAAACACAGACTTAAAAATAATGGAATACAACAGGTAGAGCCTAGGAGGATCAGATTGCCTGTTGCCATGTAGTCTTATGAGTTCAATTTCACTTAGCAAGAGGCAGCCATCTATAGCCCTGTTAAGCAATCACAGTTTCCCAGGTGAATGAGCATTTGAACAGGATTGCGTGTGTATCCATTATAAGTTAATGATTACAAATTAAAGGAAAATACATTGGATCACTGCTTTTGTTCATTGTGCTGAGTAAAATGATTTCAGGAGAGTTTTGCCTGTGTAAAGGTGATATCTTATAGGCTGGGATTATAAATGCAAAGGCCAGCACAGTTAAGTTCACTTGTGTAGAGTTCCCCATCTGTCACAAGATTGTACTCAATTCTGTTCTCTTTATTTAGGATTTATTTTCTTCATATTGTACTGAAAGTAATGGGCCTTGTTTACATATAGTAATATGCTAACAAATGTGATTAAAAAACTGAAACATAGTTATTTACAAAAAATAATTTCAGCGGGTCTTCTCTGAGTAAAAGTTAGATTCATGAGTTCAGCTTACCAGTTTGGTGCAGAATCCCCAAGAATGAGATGGAGAATTTTGCACTGGACAAAAAAAAGATTGGTCAAAGAGCATATAAGCTTTCAAGGCCTGCATTTCCAGTCACCGACAGAATTTTAGTAGACATTTTCAAGAGATAATTTAATACCCAGCAAGTTGTAAATAACTTCCTGCATGAAATTGCATTTTATTGAGTATAAATATGGATTGGATAGTAATTTACTGTGACGTACCAGAGAAATGTAGAGCTGATTCTTTTGTACTGGAAGTAGAGTCAATCAAACCCAATTGTACAGGAACAACTGAAAAATGAAAAACCACAGGGAGATTTGTCCTGGTGTGGGAGTTGGGAACATGTTGAAAGAATTGTTTCAGAATGTTTAGTTACCTGCTGTTAGACAATGACTAATTGGCAGTGTGAAACTCTGCTGATTCTTTTGAGATGACATTATTATTTATCAGCTTACTTTGAGTGAAGCAATATTGCAACATTTAAGCCAGCAAATTGGTTGTATGTTCTTAATTGTGTGTTCACCTATAAGGGTTAGGAAGATAGTTGAGCCTGACACCTTTGCATGCACAGCATACCACTTAACTATCAAGGAGTCAGGAGTTGGCATGGATAGCCAACCACCAATGCTCATGGCCTGCCAGAGGCTCTACTGCAGGAGCACCAAATTGACTTTAATGGTACATTTGCACTATGCCAACCTTTCCACTGGTTCGCCCTCCCCCTTTCTTTCCCGGGAAGTACTGTAGCAGAGACTAAGCTGTTGGTAGTTCAAGTGAGTATTCTTACCCATCACACCATCTGACCATGAACTATTGATAACATAAAGGTAAAGGGACCCCTGACCATTAGGTCCGGTCGCGGATGACTCTGGGGTTGCG